GGCAGCGTTGATTTCGGTGGAAGGTTCAATCCTGACCTGAAGTCCGAATGCCTTTTAAATCTAGGTCGGCCTTTGGGATACTTTATGTTTCACTTATTGGGCTTAATAGGACCCTATTTACGATTTTTTTCAGAGGCTTTAAAGGGCCAACCTAGAAATTTTGACCCCAGGGCTTACATACAGAAAGCCCTAAAGCCTTAAAGCCTTAAACCCCAGAGCCAGGATTAGCGTTTTGTGTCGAAGCTTTTTGGTTCACGGCTCGCGGGTTCAGGGTTTAGGGTTTGGGATCTGTAAGAACTCAAGCCCTACACCCTGAACCTTAAACTTCAACCCTAAACAGTGAGCCCCAAACCCTGAACTCTGAGCCCTAAACCCCGAACCATAAACCCAGAGACTGCAATATCCCTTTATTAAGGAATATACCTTAATCTATAGTAGGATCCCTAATATGATTTAAGGTATATGCCTTAATTAAGGCATATTGGAGTCTCTGGGAATGCGGAACCCCCGAACCAGTTTTCTAGATGAGTAGGAGTATCTTATATAGTATAGTATATGTAGTATATAGTATATAGTATATGATTAGAAGCCTGTTTTCACGGAGGAGCACCGGAGGGCACAGAGGCGGAGGAGGAAAAACGATCGGGCCCCAGCCGATCTTCCACCTATTTGGAGCGGGGTCAAGAGTCTTGAAGGTTTTTTTGAGTTCAGAGTCTTGGGGTTTTTGAGTTCAGAGTTTTGGAGGTTTTGAGTTCAGAGTTTTGGAGTTTTAGAGTTCAGAGTCTTGGGGTTTGAAGTGCAGGGGTCGTGGTAGTTGCAGTAGTAGAACGTACCGACCAAATGAGAATCTCCAGCTCTGTAGCGGTGATGGTGGTGGTGGTAGTTGGGGTTGTGGTAGTGGTGGTGGTGGTGGTGGTGGTGGCGCGGTGGTGGCGAGGGTGGCGGCGGTGGTGGTGGTGGTGGCGTTGTTGGTGGCGGCGGTGGCGGTGGTGCTGCTGGTGCTGGTGCTGGTGCTGGTGGTGGTGGTGCTGCTGCTGCTGGTGGTGGTGGTTATCGTCGTCCAGCTCATGTTCGTCGTCGTCGTGACACTAAGCCCAATAGGCGAGTGTTGAAATTTCACCTCAAAACCTCCGTGGCCAAATCGATGACCTGCAAGCAGTTTTAAAAGCTGCCTGCTGAGTCGTTGGCGGTGCAATGGTGCCAGCTGCGAGGAGGGCCCTGCTGCGAGAATAATTACCAATACTATTTTGGAGGTTCCTTATTGTAATTATAATATTATGGGCCAGCGCGAGAGTTGCGTCCTGGTGGACAGCTTCGGTAGATCTCGAAATTTCTCCCAACACTCTATTCTACGCATCACTGACACCTTCGCTCTGGATTCTTGTATATTCACCTAGTCTTCAGGAGTTCCGCCCCGCGGCGCACGGCGGAAGAGCTCCGGGCCCGCGCAAGGGAGCCGAGATTTTTGAGCGCATGAATTCGAGGAAATTCGGGGTTTAGGGTGTGGGGTTTAGAGTTTAGGGTATGGGGTTTAGGGTTCAGGGTATAGAGTTTAGGTTTAATTAGGGTTCAGGATATAGACTATCAGAGTTTAGATACAGTATAGATGTTACGCTCCGGAACAGAAGCTGTGGTGTAAGGTAGAGGGTTGCAGTGGGGAAGAGCGAGGAAAATCGGAGGTTGGCTGCAGCTTTCAAAACGGATTGAGGCGCCGTTCAGGCATTAATATAGGAGCTTTCATAACTAGAATAAGCTTTTTGGGTGTATTTCATATTATAATTACAATGTATAAGGAACCCCCCACAATAATTATTAAGGCCCCTATATTACAGGCTTTCCGGCAACCTCCCAAGGGGCGAGCCGGTCTCAAAGTTTGAAGCTTCATGCAGTACTTCAGCTCTGCGGGATGAAGTGTTTTAGGGGTTTTGGGGTTTCAGGGTTTAGGGATTTAGGGTTTAGGATTTTGGGGGTTTAGGGGTTTAGGGTTTAGGGATTTAGGGTTTAGGGTTTTGGGGGTTTTGGGGGTTGGGTTTTGGGGGTTTTGGGGGTTTAGGGGGTTTAGGGGTTTAGGGTTTAGGGGTTTAGGGTTTTGGGGGTTTATGGGGTTTAGGGTTTTAGGGGTTTAGGGTTTTGGGGTTTTAGGTTTTAGCGGTTAAGGGGTTTAGGGTTTTTAAGCTACGGGTCGCGATAAGGGTTGGCCTTCAAATAGATCCTTCATGGTGGGTGTTTGGGGGTATATTAGAGTGTAGTTGGGGGATCTGGGTGGGAACTTGGGGTTATGGGGTTTGGGTCACGTTTGTCTTTCCAACCGACAAATGCCGAAGCCAAGTTCAACAATCGAGCCCAGTACCTCGCAAGCGCACCATCTCAAACCCAAGCCCAAAGGCCCAAAAGGGGCTTTGGGTTTGAGGTTTAGGGACACGGCAGGGTATCAAAGAATAATACAACTATACGCATAAGCACAAGTAGTGCGAGTCAAAGCAGCAAAGGCGACGACCAGCAACGCTTATGCTGTGTAGTTTGCTCACCTCTACACTCACAGGGGAAAAGGAGGGACCCTTAATGGGGACTCCTACCCCATAATGGGCTATATAATGGGTATATAATCGCTATATTGAAGAGGGGTCCTTATTAAGGGTCCTTGTCCCCCAGCCTGCCTTCAGACGCAGCCTGACACCAAACTCCCCAGAAAGCAAGCAGAAGCCAGTACGCAAAACCCGATCCCGAGAATCCGAGAGACACCACCATCCCTTTTTTTAAAGGAAGATACCTCAAATTATATTAGCGATCCTACTACAATGTAAGCTGTACTCTTAAATTATTAGGGATATCGGAATCCACTAAACCCTAAGCAATCGAGACCCCTTATAGGATCCCTTAAAAGGAACCCTAACCCTAGGTATTCCTTAATTTAGGTATGCTCCTTAATTAAGGGATATTGGAGTCTCTTCTTGGAGGTTCATGGGTAGTTATAAGTGGAGTTGTAAGTCCCTTAATACGGATTATCACTATTGTTACCCTACTTATAAGCCCAGTTATAGCTACCCATGAACCCTACCCTAAACCCAAACCCCTAAACCCTAAACCCTAGACCCCAAACCCTAAACCTCCAAGTTGGAATCCGAGAGACACACCCAGGCCAAGGAGGTTCAGCAGAGCCTCGCCTTGCGCCACGCGCAAGCGGAGGATCGGTGTGGGTCTAGATTTAGGGTTTAGGGTTTAGGGATGATATAAATCCTGCATGCCCCATAATAACGAATATACCATAGTTCCCATAGTTTCGGGTCCTGAAGGTCATGCAGGATTTATATCATCAACCCTAAACCCTAAAACGCTACAGATCCCTTAAAGGAAGCCCTTAAAGGTACCCCTTAATAGATCCCTTTAAAGGAACCCTAGGGATTCATATCATCCACCGTAGTACCCAGCTTATGCGAGGGCCCAAGTCACCTGCAGCCTGCTATCGGAGCCGATTTTGCTCCATCGCGCGGTCGCTTCCTTGGGTCAAAGGGGAAAGGAGGGACCCTTAATGGGGACCCCTACCCTACAATGGGCTATATAATGGGTATATTAAGGGTATAAACCCTAAACCGCCAGTCTGCAGGTGTTACAGTGCATAGGGCTGAGGATCGTGCAGCCAAGGCTTTATGCATGCGGTTACGGCTTGTGCGGATCTAGCCTTTGTCATGAAGCCCTACACCGCAGGCCGTAAATCACAGGAAAAGTCCTAAGGCAAGATGCCCTAAGATGATCCCTAAGCCATCGACTTCTACCCCCCTAAGCACAGGACCCTAAAGCCCTAAAGTTTCCAAAGCGGCCCCTAAACCCGAAATGCTAAACCCGCAACCCTAAACTCCAGACTTAAACCCGAAACCCTGAACCCCAGATCCTTTAAAACAAAGAAGCCCTAACGCGCCCGATCTGTAAGCCATGGACGCGCCACCTTCGAAGATGGCGGTGATGGCCGCGCCATCGGCTGCTGCAACTTAGCCGGGTTTAGGGTTTAGGGTTTCCGGGTTTAGGCTTGGGGTTCAGCGTTTCGAGGTTTCGGGTTTAGGGGTTTAGGGTTTCGGGATTTAAGGGGGTTTAGAGGGTTGGGGGTTTAGGGTTTGCGGGGCGGGTTAGGGTAAAGATCTAAGGGTGTGGGGTTCAGGGTGATCTGGCCGGCAGGGTAATCGTGTGCTCGCTTGTGGGAAGTTGTTTCTTTGATATGGTTCAGGGACTCGGAATCCTCACAATTGTTTTATTGCTCTTTGTACGTATGTCTACCGACCTTTACTGTTGCTTGGCTCAAGACAAAAAGTGTGTGTGCGATTCGTGCTATCGTGCACTATCTATAGGTTATCAGCCGTAGCCTAGTCGAGCCATATCCTTTTCCAGGTCGCTCCTGAAATCCTGCAGGTAACACCGGAATGGAGGACACAGCCGAGCCAGTGCCAACGGGTATCTCAGATATGACATTGGCAACTGATGAAGCAAGTGATCAAGGATTTCCTCCATTAATGCCAACAGGTGATAGTCATTTGCCGAATGACGGACTGGCAATCATGTCACATGATGCAGCGCACTCTCCGATTGATTCGTTGCTTAGGGAACGTGTCCCTACTACGCCAGTATCTATTGCACCTGTTACTCCGGTAGGAATACCTGGACCATTGGCTCATGCTACGGGCGTGCCCAGCCCATCAACACCAATCTATTCACCTCACTATCATCAAGCAAGCCTCACCCAGAACCTTCAGGTTGTCGATGCCAGGCAGTTGACGATTAATCAGGATGCATCTCCGATGGTCGCCTTTGCCGCCGAGGCACGACACAATCAGATTATCGGCGAATTGGGAGCAGAACATCAGGAGCAGCTCCGTGCAATGTACAATAGTGGGCTTGCAGAGGTGAACAAGTTGAGGAACGAATTAGGCAATGCTAACATTGCGTTGTCGATTCAGAGGTCTGAAATGGGTCAAGGTGAAGTTCGTTTCCAACAAACCGAAAGCGCGAGGGAACTCGCTGTCATTGAAGCCAACCGGCAAGCGGAAGCTGCCCGTAGAGCTTTAGAGGAAGCTAACAGCAATGCCAGGCGCCTTCGCGAAGTGGAAACTTCTGCCCGTCAGAATGATGCAATGCGATCCCATGAGGTCGCTGACATGTCATCTCGGATGGATGAACTGATGAGGCAGCTTCACGCCCAGCGTCAGCAGACAGAGGTATTGATTCAGCAGAATAGTGCATTAAGCTCCAGGGTTCGAGATTTCGAAGCTAGAGATGCTGCTTTGAGGATTCAAGAGGGAATTCCACAAGGGCCTCCACCCGGCATTCCCGTGCATCCCATTTCCACCCCGAAGCATGGAGGTGACACTCCTACGGAACAGGCGACGGACGCCGGGAGGCGAACCCCTCCAGATGGCTCCAGCCCAGGTGGCGGTGGTGGTGGCGGCGGACCTGATGGCAACGGCCCCAGCGGAGGCGATGATGATCATGATCGTCGCAGTCGGAAGTCCAAGAAGGATAAGAAGCATAAGAAGAAGAAGTCGCGCAGGCGACGTAGGCGAGATCCTTCGTCTTCCCCTTCTAGCTCTAGCAGTAGCTCCGGTGATTCGAGTTCTTCATCATCCCGCATTGATAGGAAGACCATGAAGAAGCTCCTTAAGCGGATGAGTGAAGCTGTTGGTGACCGTGGTGAAAAGCCCGAGAAAGACGACAAGCCCAAAGTGAAAGAAGCTGAGAAGATTACCTTCCCCAAGTTCCCGCAACCTGAGAGCTACAGGAATTGGAGGCTAAGGGTTCGTGAAGCGGTCGTTGCCGCATCCGATCGTCCCGATGATGCCTTTTCGTGGCTTTCCAAGGTTTGGGAGAAAGATGTCAAGGAAGAAGATCTTCACGACCCGGAAGGGTTCGTCACTTTGGATGCTAAGGTACTGTCGGCGGTCACTAACATCCTGGAAGGTGCCTTTGCGAGACAGGTTGATACCTTCAAGGAGCGGGAGGCAAATGCCGGGAGACTTGTTCGGGGACGACAAGTGCTTTTCAAGTTGGATAATTTCTTTTCTACCAACGCACAGCATGGTTCAGTTTACGAGTTTGAGGACCTCTTGTCAGTCAAGATGGTCAACGAGAAGCTTGAGACTTTCATGCACAACTGGGAAACTGTATTGTCAGGGATCCAGACTACCCCCGATGAGAACTTCCTTGAGCCCTTGTTCCATAGGCAGATTAAGCGCTTCAAAGACCTCGCACATGATATCAACATCTATGAAAGGGCAACACCAGGGCAGCCAGAGAAGATCTACAAGTTTTTGTATGACGCGGCTACGAACTACTTGAGTCGCAAGCGTCTTGAACGCAACCGGGAACGGATTGCCAAGCAATATGGTGCTGATGGGAAACCATCTGCCCCCGCTCCCAAGAAGAAATTCGTCCCTAAGGGATTTTGTTTTGAGTTCGTACAGAACGGTAAGTGTAGCAAAGGAGACAAATGCAAGTACAAGCATGAGATCCCTGAGAAGAGAGGCCGGTCGCATTCAAGAGGTGGAGGTCGCGCTCAGTCACCGTCTGGCAACGACGGAAAACCCAGAGAATGCAAGTTCTGGAAGAGTGGGCGATGCAAGAAAGGAAGTGCATGTACGTTCCTCCACACAGGCAAGCCAAGCGCTGCTGCGGCGTCACAAGGCGGCTCTCAGGGGGGAAGACCAGGAAGCGCAGGCAGCAAAGGGAAAGAAAAGAAGGAGAAGAAGGGCCATCGCAAATCGCGGTCCAACTCGAAGGGCTCTCAGGGGTCGAAGAACTCTAAGCGCAGCAAGGGTTCGGACAAGCGAAAGGGTCCAAAATCACCAAAAGTTCCCGCTGCGGTCTGCATCCTAGGGGCATTGATCGCCGCGGCATCGGGTACCCAAGCCGACGCTGCTTATGCATTCCGGAAGGATATGCCCGATAGTCGTGGTGACATGTCAGCTACCTTTTCATGTGCGTTGCCAGCTATTCGTTTCGACGATAATCCGATGCTCATCAACATCCCACCTGACGGAAAGATGTTGCCGACAGAACCCGAGACACGGAGGTACTTGAAGTCCTTCGGTGGGGAACCTCCTAGACCTAGTCAACAGGACGTCAAAGATGCACTGACGACTGCCAGGATGCTTAAAGCAACTCTGGATGCATATGGTTCCGGGATAAGGGCTAAGTGTGGTTATGAGTGTGACACGGAATTCGGTTGCGACAAGTGCATTCCGAAACACATTGAAGCTACCTGTGTTGCAGCTACCAAAGCGGAAGCCCAGCAGCTCGACATTGAGTGGATCGCGGATACCGGCAGCGCCCAGGACCTGGTTTCACAGGGGGATCTCGGATCTTTGAGAAGCCATCGTTCCCAAAATCCTATCGGTATTGTGACGGCTAATGGGCCTAGCACTGCTGAGATTCAGTCCAACATCGCAGTTCCTTCACTTGGAATAGACAGCCATCCATACGTGTTGCCTAGCACACCCTCTGTTCTATCCGTTGGTTACAGATGCATGGAAGAGGGATTCGATTTCGTTTGGAGATCGGGTACAAGACCTTACTTTCAGTCATCTAGCGGTGAGCGGATATATATGGATGTGAAGGATTACGTCCCCTACCTCAAATCGTGGAAGGAAGGTGTGGCGGTACCTGCGAGGCGGAAGCCCCAGCCCGATGAGGACCATAAGAATGATTTGGTTCTTTCGCTTGAAGAGGCTGAGGGATATGCAAGGGAACTTCGGATCAACGGCGACTTTCGTCTGGGATCGTGTTACAAACTTTTGAAATTGACACCATTCAAGTCTACAGGGAATTCGAGGAGAATGAAAGCTACTGAAAATGACGACTCGGTTGAAGATGAAGTTGGCAGGGACTACATAATCATCGGCGCTTGGATTTTTAGCGGTATGACTGGAATCACAACTTCTGTAGACCGTCATGCTCAGCTGACCAAGTACCTGATCGCCTTCATGAAGTCAAGAGGGTTGAAAGATACCTTTACGTCCATCTGCATCAACCATGGTGGCAATCGCCGGGTGCATCGAGACTTGTTGAATCATGATGACTCGCTCAATCACACTCTAGGCGTTGGAAGCTATCATGGTGGTTCCGTATGGGTTGAGCGGAAGGACGACACTCCCGTATTTCGCAGAGAAGGTGTAGCTGGTGGGAAATCAAAGTGCGTCAAGGTTACGGGGGGACTCGAAGTCAATGGAAGAGTATACGACACTCATGATCGAATGTTATCCTTCCACCCCAAGCTTTGGCATCAGGCACAGCCTTGGACAGGTGATCGATGGACCATCACTGCATACACGATTCGGGATGTAGACGGTTTGAGCTGGGAAAAGTCAAAGTCGCTAATGTCGCTTGGGTTTCAGTTGAATTCATCAAGACGGTTACCATTTGTTCCATCATTGATTACCGGCGACAGCGATGAAGAGCTCACACTTTACGACTTTGTGAAGAAGAAGAAGAAAGCCGAAGCCGAGAAAGATAAGGTTCCTGAACCAGCTCCTCCTCTGATGAAGAGTAAGGCCAAGTCTAAGCCCAGCAAGCCTGATGCCGGGCGGAAGCCTGAGCCCGAGCCTGAAAAGGGTGCAGACATGTCTGATCTTTTTGATATTGAGGAGCATTTCGATGAAGCCGGGGAGTTGAAAAGTGCCGAGGATCAGCCACCTCCTCCTCCTGTTCCTGCTGAGGCAGATAAGCGTTCGAAGGGAGAGAAGGTTTTACGTGAAGAAGCTAAGAGCAAACATCATCTGATGACACACGTCCCAAACAACCCCTTTTGCCCTACATGCCAAAGAGCGAAGATGTTCAAGCCGCCTTCGTATCAAACGAATGGTTCCAGGTTCATTGAGTCTGAGAAATTCGGCGACCATCTCACTGGGGATCATCTCATTGTCTATCGCGACAACGAAGAAGAGATTAAGGATTCGCGATTAGCTTTGGTTATGAAGGACGTGGCAACGGGTTTCCTCGCG